GAGCAGGCTTCCTCAAGCAGATGAAGAAGACGCGTTCATGAGCTTTGTCTACAGAAACATCTGAGCCCCTGCTGAGCTCGTCGGTGGAGAGAAGCTTTCATTGGTTTCCTTTTAAACGTTCTGGAGACTTTTTAAAAGCTCCTGAAATTGAATGTTTGATTCTGGGAACTTCCTCGAATGCCGCCTGCTGTCCTTTCTTTAGATTCAAACCCCTCCTCTCTCAGCTTCATCGGGGTCTTCCTCACTGTTGTTTCTTTGTATAAATTCAGTTTCTGTTTTTCCTCTCGTTAAATCCTCGTCTCCAGAATCCAGAGCTGCCGTCTGTTCAACTCTTTTCTCTCTGAATGTTTTTCAGGGACATTTTTCAGCTCGACAGCGAGACGACCACAAGAGCTGCCGACGCCACGAGGAGGTGACGCGAGGACAGTGGAGACGCAGCTCTGTGGGACTGTGTGTGCGTGCAGATGCCACACGGCGCTGCAGACGAGCCCGTGTCACGCAGCTCGAAGGCGACTCCTCGGATTTCTCTCGCTGACTCTGTGAGTGGAAAGTAAATCAGCAGGTTGGATATGAAACAACACAACGGCATCGAGCGCACACAAAGCTTCAGATACTTCCTGCAGAGCTGGGCTGTGTGTCTGTGATGAGCACAGACTGTTGTGTCGTTTTCAGGCTCTTTCAGGCCAAACTTGTCGGTCACTGAGTGTCCAGCAACGCTCTGGACCTTCACAGAGCTGAAGCTCTGAAAGGACGCCAGCAAACACCTGCTTCCTGTTTTTGGACTGAAACACGCCAGTGACACAGAGTTTGTCTCACTTGAACTTTTAAAGGGAATATTCAACATTACGAAACATTCGGATGTTTCAGAATCTGTTCCTAGCTGAATATCCAGAGGACGCTTTGAGGATCGTTTCTGACTGACGGCGCCCTGCAGCATCCACCGCCATGCTCCCAGGAGGGCTGGCGTCCGGCGGAGGGGGTCGTGGCGGCGGCCTGTGCCTGCTCCGGTGGCTGGGCCTCAGGCTGTGGTCTCGTCGGGGGACACTGGTCTTCGCTCTGCTCTGGTTCGGGTCCTGGTTGTTCCTGAACGGCCTGGTTCTGGTCCACAGGACCATCCTGTCTGACTTCTGCACCGACGACAAGAGCAAGAGGATCCTACAGAGACTGGTGAGTC